GGGATTGATCAGTCAGAGTCATTATAAATTCAGCTGCTTTTTTTCTTTTTTTTATACTTAATAGGTCGACGTTTGACCACCATCTGGCCTGGTGGTAAGCGATGATGTGGCCGACGACGGAGCTCGCCACACGCTATTGCATGATTTTTCTTATACAATAATAGTGACTAGCAATCATTAAAACCTATGCTTATTAAATCCTCGGTCGGTACATTTAGTCTAGATAGTACATAAATAGGGCCTAATTTCGCGATACACTCCTCCTCACTACTTCAATTTCACACAGTTACAATTCCACGATGAACCAGTAACATTTGTCGCGTAACATTTTATTTCTCACCTCTAGCAACACTTTCCTGTACTTGACATGTTTTCAATCGAGTTGCAGGAAGGAGGTTGTTAGCTCCACTCGTGTATTTTGTTCGAATGATTACCGAGAGGATTTGATTGTTTGCGTGTCGTTCTCGAAGTGTGAATCGTTCTGTAAGCAATTGTTTAAGAACACTTGTAAATATTTTGAGATAAAAATAAATGTAAGACGATAAAAATGGTATATTTTTATGTAAAACTTGAAAATAATGGGTTTGGCTTAAACGATTTGTTTTATTCTTCAATCTCATTTAATTGTTAGTCGTTAATGGCTGTCAGGCATACTCAAATAAATGAAAAGAAAGCGTTGAGCTAAAAACACCAGCATTTAGTAGTTTTAATCATTTAAATCTCACTTAACTGCTTCAGAAACTCATTTGCAATAGACTTTACAAATTATTTAAAAAATATACGTTCTTTATTTAAAATGTGAAGTCAAAATAAAATCTGACAGCTGGCATGATAACAAAAATAACGGTAAAAATTCAAAATACGAATTCTCTCTGCATGTTTGTTCGGAAAATGCTGCCATATTAAAAATGTTCGGATAAATATATCAAATGGCAACACAACATCGATGTTTTGATTTTGAAATGGCGTAAAGTTTGTCCTTAATGACTGAATGTGAAAGCAAAACAACTGCTAACTGCTAAGTTGAATGGAGTTTCCTATGTTGGTTTGTTTACGCCTAAGACGGAATGAGTTGGGCCTAATGTCTCGTGCTAACAAAACAAAAAACTTTTGTTGACAATTTCACTCGTTGAAGCCTCATAAGGAACTCTGAATAAATAAATTTAGATTTTATTTAAATGTTTTTAAATCTAGAAATAACGTTTTCAAATCAAAGTTAAGGATTAATTTGATGGACCAATCGAAATGCCTCTCGAAATGTTTTCATTCATATATCTACTTATGTAATTTCAGTAAGAACGATAACCAATTATTATGCTAACCTCACCATATATACATTAAATACGTTCCTGGTGAAAAATAAAACTAATGCATCGGTAGCCAATCATGTGTTTCCATTTCTAAATTTCCAATATGGCGTTCCAGAAACCGATTTTAAAGTCCTGTATATAATGACTGTCGATCGTAAAACGTGTTATACTACTTAGCGTTTGTACTGCAACCAGTGCAATGTAAACCTCGTAAACGAACCATGAGAGGCATGGTTGAGCCGTAAATTGACGATTTAATTACCCTAACTGGCAACTGTCATTGGGTGATTCGAAAATCGAAGCCATTCGAACGGCTTTTGTTTTTCGGTCTATTGTTTGCTAGTGAATAACTTTGCTCTTTTTTGTTAGTGTATTTTGTTTTATATTCTATTTTTTTTTTTTGTTTTATGCGTAGTCTAGTGTTGTACAACTTTCAATGATCCAATCGAATCAAATGTTTTTCAATAATTAAATCGAATTAGTTACTATGGACTTCGAATTTATGTACAACTGTAGGCTATAGTTAACTGTAACATTAAAAGTTATTTTTCATACTTACTATTGTTAAGTTTGTATCTAGTATGAGTTTCGCATAATCTTAGAAATTTAAGAAACTAAATATTTATGATTAATTACGTATTCTCAGTTTATAAAGTATTCTCTAACTTCTACCGTTGCTTATAATAAGTTATGTTTTCATAATCTTAGAGCTGGAGTTCCTTAACAGTGGTTAACGCATGCAATATGGAGGAATTATAATACTAAAAGGAATTTTTAGCTTATTAAAAGTGAGCGTTTTATTAAGTTTAAATGGATTAATGGAAAACATAATATGACATGTTTTAATACTTTAAATTTACTCACAAGAGTTGAATATTTTTGAAAACTTGTGTTATTTTGTAAACCTATTTGATATAAGTAGTAGACAAATGAAGTTTTACCTGCTACTACTACCTACTACTACTAAGCACCTTGGTTTTTTATGGAATAAGCCGGTAAACGAGTAGACGATGATGAGATAACAATCGGCGCCGCCCATGGACACCCAAAATACCAGTGATGTTACGAGTGCGTTACCGGTCTTTTGGGGATTGGTAATTTGGAGATTATTGGATTGGGGAGATTGGGGAAGATTGGAAAAGGTCATTGAGCCTTCAGTATCTCACACAATTGTGGTTGTACGTCGGTTTTCTGAGAGGCCGCTGTATCACTCCGGTCGAGCCGCCACATTCGTGCCGAAGCATGGCTCTCCCACACTTCTGTTCTGTACCAAAACAATCCCTTTCACAACAAAAAAACAATATTTCGTACAATCAAAACAATAACGAACAAACTCTAAGCCAAGTTCGCGGAACTTTTATTTCCTAAAGCCGTTGTAACGTTAAATAATTTTCTAACAGCAGCCATTAACAAACAACTAAGTCTAAAGATTCACTTAATGTGATAAAATACGATTGTTTTTATTTCTTTATGTTCATTGTTGTATTACTTTTTATGTATACTATGTAAGTCTTTAATTTATGACTCAAGTTATTCAGTGTGTTGAATAATTTGACGTAGGAAACTTATGGCCGTTTTCCCTACAAGTAAGAGCTAAATTGCGTGACACCTAAACTATCTCCTACAGCTAACAAGGTGTCACTTATAGTATAGGTTGGTGAGAACCAAAATGTCATTAAGTGTCATCTATTTTAACTTAGGCGTTCCTTAAAACTTAAGAGGTTGTTACATCCAGAATTAGTTTCGGTATGTTTTCACATACATCGAAGTTTGACTACTCCCAACAATGGAGTAGTTGCAATATTATAAAATGAAATGAACATAATATACAGAAATTACTTTTAATATACACAAACAACTCTTCTATATGTAAAGGAATACATAAAGGTAAAAGGCCATTACTTATTTGTATTAACCACGAACTATCTTCCGTAAGAGATCAAAAGTAGGTACTTGAAAGGATTGTTCAAAAGGTTTCGACAAAGGAGGAAGTAAATATTGTATTCTCGTAAAATAGAAAATGGATAACGGGAGACGTAATATCACTTTTATAGTAAACTTTCTTGGTTCTTCTATTGTCTTATATGTATGGGAAGAAAAAAATCATACATTTGTTTTGACCCACCCACAGTTTGGCAGTCACGCTGATAGCCATTCGGCTTTTAATAAAAAATATTATACCGGTTACTTCAAACTCAGTACTTTGAAATAAATCATACCTGTCCAACAAAAAGACTACATACATCTATCAAAACACAGACACAGTACAAAATGTTTACAAGTTTACAATATCTGATATGCAACGAACTGTCGGACTGATCTAAACATCTAGTCGGAATCCTGGCCTGGTGCCAACCCAACCATTGTGCTGAAGAAACCCCAAAATAGGTACATCAACATTAAATAGTTTTATTGTGATCCAATAGATTTCGTTGAGCCAGTTATTATTGAGCTATTTTGGGATCGAAGTGATGATCTCCACTTGTTTGTTTGTATATTATGTTTGGCGGTCCGTTTCGTGAAAACGTTTTCCTGGATATCAGAATAGGTTTCCTAATAGTTTATCTGTTTTAAATGACCAAATAATTACTCAAAGTCAAGATTATTTGTTTCGTTAAAATTAAGAAGTTGTATAGATCAAGCACAGCATCTTTTGCTTTGGAAACAATACAAAAAGGTTAATACAATACAACTCACAATTTTTATATTGACGTTATAAAATATGTCATACGACATACGATTTAAACACCATATTTAAATGACAATGACGTTGCTGGGTTAGAGCTGTACCGTGCCTGTTAGATGTGCGAGAAGCTTCAGTATGTTCAAGTACATACTATTTCTTTGAAACACAAACTAACAGTATACCAAACTAATGCTTCTATTTAAAAAAATAATAATTTGTATGCAGTATTTTCATTCATCTAATACAAATAATTTCAATTCACAATACATTCTGTCTTGTCTTATATCTATATTTAAACTGAAACTCCAGACTTCCCTCGTTCCTTTTAAAATGTTGAACATTATAAAGAAAATGCATCATATGATATGAACAAGAAAAGTTTTGCTTCAAAATTATACATTGTTGCAACATGAATAGCAACCCGCCCCTACCGAGGTTTAAATTCTTGACAATAGACGCTGGATGACATCATTCATAGTATATCTATTGAAAACTACATATATAAATTTTCTTTATAATATTTTGTACTAGAATCGAAATGTCGTGGTGGCCCGGAGGTTTAAGACGCCCACTTCTCATGCATGAGGGTGCGGGTTCGAAACCTACCAACGGCAAGTACCAATGTGACTTTTTCCGAGTTATATGTACTTTCTAAGATTATTTAGACACCACTGACAAACGGTGAAGGAAAAACATCGTGAGGAAACCTAGACTTAGTTTGAAATCGCCAACCCGCATTGAGCAAGCGTGGTGATTAACGCTCGAACCTTCTCCGTGTGAGAAAAGACTTTGCTCAGCAGTGGGCATTTATAGGCTGTTGATGTACTAGAATCATAATATATATTACGAACACTTTTGCAAAATTTTTCTCAGAAAGAAGTTACCTTAAAACTTAAAAAGAACTGCCTCGTTGGCCAAATGGTAAAACTGTAACCATCGATGGCCCTGTAAGTTTTGTATCGAAAATAGTAAAAAAATCCTAAATTGTTCGTTTTTCATTTCAGATACCTATACTGCAATATAGCTATGATACACCAGGTAAGTTCTTTTACAAATTATTGCCCGAATACTGAAACGTTACTCAATTTTAAGTCACGCTTATGTATAGTTCTGTCACTACAAATTCTTTGTAAAATGACAGAGATGGCACGATATTTAAGCACCACTTAAAATTGAGTAACGTTTCAGTATCTTTCACATTTCAGAAATCATCCTGTTTTTCAATAATCAACCATATTGTTAAATAAATAAAAAAGCATCCTGTGATAGTCGTATATTCGACTACAGAATTTCTCTACGTAAGAATGTTTTCCATAATTTGTAAGCTCGGCAGGAGGTCCAGGTTTGTTACAATAAACCACTGCTTAACTCTAATCCCTTAATCAACTCACCCAAAGAGAAGCAGTGGTGACTAATGTTATTCTATTCTCCCCAGCTATCGTGTCTTTTGCGTTTTATCACAGTAGCAATCTAAAACAAACATAAATCAATCTTGCTGTACCTACATCGCATAGTTTCCTCGACGCCAAGGCGTTAGGAACCTAGGAGCTCTAATTTAATAACCCCGGGAGTCTATCTAGAGGCCAATAGATCTAGACTCTATATGTACTACATTAACGTAAGTACATTCAGTACTACGTTGTTTACGACCAAATATTTTAAATACAACTTTAGATTAACATATTTAAAGTTCATTTTTATTTTTCCTAAATTTCAATATTAGTATGATTTAAGAAATTTTTTAATATAGCTGTGGTTTATTAACATGTAGAATTTCATATAACAATAACTTTGATGTACAAACATAATTACAATGCACGATCTATTCTAAATAATCCTAATCCGCGGAAACTATACTACTATACATATAATTGGAATTACACATATTGTACATATATAGGTATGAGAAGATTAGCTTCTAATCCTAATACATGCAACGTATAATTTGTAATAACTACGAAACAAGACGTTAATATCAAGTCATACTATCTGAAATTCTGTGCCAGTAGTCGAACTATGAAAAGCAATCTTAGTTCGTTGGTATAAAACGCAATTTGTATCAAACTGTCACCTCAGACGTGCGGTTTGCTACAAATTGAGCCAATATGTTTGTGGAACAGATAACAATAGTTCTTGTGTGCATACAGCTACAAATCAAGCTATGCATAACCAGTGTAAACGGACCTTTGATTGTGACAAAAGGTTATGCTAACAGAGACCATGATAAAGTAGTTTTGTATGACTTGATGCGTTGCTATGTGTATAACAATTCTTATCGAATGGAAAATCTTTGTGATTAATTGCGGCCATTAAATACTAAGGACTGTGAGACTAGTTTTTGGTGTAATAATAATGTTGAAGATGTTCTCGTGACTCCTAGGAATTATAGGAGTTACAGACTTACTGTTGTCATGTTATGGTTTAATTTTCAACGTCTTTATAACATCATCGTTAACCAGTAACAGTACTGATGAATTAACTGAGAAAAATATCTGTGCATATTTTTTTTTACTATACCGGTGGACAGGACAATTCAGGGATTTGGTACGTCCTTGCGAGAAATCCGCCCTTGTGAACCTCTTGAACACGAATACAGATTTTTTGAGTGGGGCGGGAGGACTCTTACTGACTAAAAACCACCCCGTTCCTACTCCTGCACTTTGAGGCGGAGCCCGGGTAACCCGTTAAGTCCTCCGTGACTCAGTATCGGCATCATAACACACACGAACACAGATAAAAACAGGTTTAAATGGAACGAGTCATCTGGACTGCTGTAGTAGGCTTAATCTTTAACGCCAAAAATTTTTGGGCGTCCTTAGTCGCCCAGACGTATAAGTGGCCGGAGCAGGCGTTGCGTTGAAAATAGATAGACCTAATAAAGACAAATTGACGATCGTATTCATAGTATAAATATGGATCTTGAGATGTTTAAGGATAGACTTCTCAAACTATTTATGATAACTGATAACATATCAATCATTTCATAAGTAGTCAGTAGTCAGACTTAACTTTATCTAGTAATATAATACTTCAAAGGTACTACACACATACTGAAGAACAATTTTCAGGCACGTTCAAGTTAATCTTTGGTTAGAAATTTGCAGATATCATTGAAAATCATAGAACTTATGCCGATACGTAGCCGCGAAGGACTTAACAGGTTGCCGGGAGTCTGGCACGAAGTGCAGGAGTAGGACAGGGGTGGTTTTAGTAAGAGGTCTTACACTCCGTCTCGCCTCACCCGGGCGAGAGAAGTCATTGGATGATTCTCCCCCCTTATAAAATTATTTCCCGCGACTCCGTCTTTAATATGATCCCAGTTTTATCCCATGGAAGCAATTAATCGGGATTAAAAGATATCCTATCAACTTAGTCAGCCCACATGGCCTGCCTGTATACCAAATGTCATCAAAATCCGTTCAGTATTTACAGCGTGATTGACAGACAAACATCCTAACAAAAACTTTCAAATATTAGTGTGATTTTAAAACTTAGGTATGGAAAATTTCCCAATACATTTAATATCTACTCGAATTGCAATAAATAAGTATTCATTATGAATGCATGGTCATACAAATAAAGATGGGAGAATGAATATATTGTCGGTTAATTAAAATATAATTATCTGTTTTATCTGTGGTTTTACTCCTGAGACGCGTATTCTCCTGACTGTTAAACAATTCTCAGTGGCAATGTTATTTATAATTAGAGAAAAATGTTTTTATATAAATACCTATTCATTAAAAATATAAGGCTATTCAGAGCCCGAGAAAATGATATTCACAACATAATTTATTAATATCATTAATCTCATTAAACAAACATGCAGAACACTCTTTTGCGATAGTTTTAAAGTGCTTATTAGATATCATCAACACCTTATAAAGCTGAGCAAAGCCTCTTATCGCAAGGAGATGATGACATTAATCACCACGCTTGCCCAATGCGGGTTGGAAATTACAAACTTATAATTAGAAATTATAAGACCAGGCCGTTTCCTCACGATGTTTTCCTTCACCGTTTGTCAGTGGTGTCTAGATAATTTAGAAAAATCATATAATTCGGGAAAAGTCACATTGGTACTTGCCGTTGGTAGGTTTCGAACCCGCACCCTCATGCATAAGAAGCGGGTGTCTTAAAACTCCGGGCCACCACATATAGATATAAGGTTTTTCAATATCAAAAAAAGCAAATAGGTATTAATCCAGTTATATTCCATTAGTACATAGTGAAACATTCCACCATTCCTTTCATTTGCAGTAAAAGTGTGTCTATACTGTTCATATCACATACTTTGTATAAATACTAACTAGAGGTAGAATTTGAATGTTCATCATCTATGAAATACAGCACTGTTCCAATTTAAGTTAGGATTCATTTTGGCGAACAACTTTGATAACGACCAGCCGGCGAGTACTCGGTCACCTCTTCATAACTCACCCACCATCAAGTGTACACTTTTGCTCGAATAAATATTATACAACAGAAGTGGGAAAGTAGGAAATTATTTATTTCTTCTGAAGTGACTTGGATGTGCTTGTGTGATAGCTGAAATATGAAACGAGCCAATTATAGTGTTTTCATTTTTAAATGCCCCCATACTAGTAAATTTTTCTTTACGTGTTTCATCATCATCATCATCATCAACAGTCTATAAGTGCCTACTGCTGAGCAAAGCCTCTTCATACACGGAGAAGGTTTGAGCAAACGTGTTTCAAGTATACAATATTTTGAAATATGGTTGCTTAGGAACAGTCTTAGAGGGTATTGATAGTATGTTCGAATTATACGCAGCGACTTGCGATTTTAAGCTAAGCAGTTAATGCTTCTCACAAATAACATCTTTTTAAATTGCCTAATAACTTTATCTTGTCAAAAAAATCCTAATTGACGTTATTTTACTGCTCACTAAAACCTACTTTACTTTACTCAAGTGCCAACGCAAAAACCTCATTATTTCAATTCATAAAAAATAATATGTGTATAAACCTGACAAATATTTTATGAGTGTCTTATACCGTTTTAAAGGGCACATTCATATTTGCATAAACCATTTTTCGTAAATAAAAATAAACACGAAACTAAATTAAGCAGTCATTTGTCTTCCATTAAAGTCAAAAGGTCATTGCACTTTACATGAATGAGTTTTAAAATAAAGACATGACGGATTATAAAGCCCTTAGGCTCCATAATATAATCAGGCCTGAGATTTTCTCCTACAACCTCCCATTAAATAAATCGATTCATAAAACTGAGTGACGATGATTACCTGAGGGGAATGTTATCTCAATTTTACCATCAGATATAAAAATCTTATAGTAACTTGGATTATTTTGTTTGTGGTGTAAGAGAAATCTATCTAAAATGACTGGTTGGAAAAGTCAGTGGCGGCGTTTTATGTGACTTTCTTAGGATATAAGAACTTTTGATTATTAACTATGGCTTCTTTCACCTTTCAATGCTTAAAACAATTTCATCACGAGTGTGGGAGAGCCATGCTTCGGCACGAATGGGCCGACTCGACCGGAGTGATACCACGGCCTCATAGAAAACTGACGTGAAGCAACGCTTGCGTTGTGTTTCGTCGTGTGAGCGAGGTTACCGAAGGCCCAATTTCCCTCCCCTTCCCCAATCTCCGCAATCCCCAAAGATCCTCAAACTCCTAATCCCCAAAAGGCCGGTAACGCACTTGTAACGCCTCTGGTGTTCCAGGTGTCCATCGGCGACGCCGATTGCTTACCATCAGGTGATCCGTCTGCTCGTTTATGAGCTCATGCCATAAAAAAAACGAATTAAAGCTATTATTTCTCGATTCAAGTAGTCTCAGACAACAAATGCGTCTGTCAACCGAATCTAATAGGTACAACAAACTATGTAACCATTTCAGATTAATGAACGAGATTCATCACACAATATCTACAATGTCAACATACGAAACAAAACCACTCTGATAAATGAGACAACATAAACATAGCGAAACCGCGATACCGCCAATCAGAGTACACCAAACCACATCGAAGTGACATCTAATGAAAGTC